TCCCAAAGGCGCGGGATTACAGGCTGAGCCACCGAGCCCGGCTTCTACAATAAATTTTAAAAGTAGCCAGGTATGGTGGTGACACCTGTGGTTCCAGCTACTTGGAAGACTGAGGTGGAAGATCTCCTGAGCCCAGCAGGTCAGTGGCTGTGAGCCACTGCCTTCCGGCCTGGGCCGTTTATAGAGTGTGACTCCAACTCAAAAAGTTTTGAAGAAATAGCATGTGAGAATTGAGTGAATAAAATGGCCTAATAAAAGTTCTTTGGGAATTTAGAGTAGCGGGCTAAAATAATTTTTAAATTATATTTTTAAATGCTTGAGGAGACTTGAGCTTTATTGGATGGAATATCCTTTTTTGTATTCATTCCATTATAAAGCACACTTTAGTTCATAATATGTCAACTTAAGTCTTATTCATGTCTCAATAGTTGTCATGTTAAAACTGAGATCAGTGAATGGTCATGGGGCCATAGAATGGTCTGCATTGTGGACAGAGGCTTTTAGTGATGGCTGTGGGCTGTGTGCATGAAGAGAATAGAAGGTGTTGTTTACATGGGTTGGGACAAGATATATAGAGAATGACTAAAGGGAGAGTGAAGGGTAGAGGGGCAAATTAAAGCATGGAAGACCCAGACGAGGGAAAGATATTTCAGACTTAAGCATGGGGCTCAGGAGAGGCAAAGGTGTGACAGTGATGGTATTGGGTATTTGACAAGGATTGTGACTTCATTTGCTTGGAGAAGGAAGTGAAGTTTAATAAAGGGTTTGGAAAAGCAAGAGTACACATTGTCAGTCTCATGCCATACAGTAAATACCAAGTTTCTAAAGACACCTTAAGAACTTCAAAAAAAATGTATTAGGAGTCTTGGACTTGGTCAAGGAGGCAAAAGGTATCAAAAGCAATAGCATTTCTTTTGAATGCTGAAGGTCAATGGTTTTCAAACTGAGATTAGGATCTCCTGAAGACGTTGAAACATTGCTGAGCCCATCCTCAAGCGTTTTCTGATTCAGTGGGTTCAGGGCTGCCTATCGTTACTTTCCTAAGTTCTCAGGTAATGATGAACCAAGGTGGTTCTCAGAAGAGAGATGGTTCTCTGGAGAGCTAAACAGAAGCTCAGCTATTCAGTTAACTTCCTGAGAAATCACAGAAATACTGGAGAAATTGACCTGAGACCAGGCACACAATTAGAAGTTGAACTGGAATTGAAATCTAAATATTTCATTGTTATGGTTGAGAAGAGTATGTGGTATGATATAAAGATTCCAGACTTTAGAGCCAGACAAATGCAAGTTTGGTTCCCAGTTCTGCCATTTCTGTCCATAAACTTGAACAAATCATTTGGGGCATCTATTCCCTCGATTGTACAGTGGGGATAATAAATACCTACTTGATAGGATTGTTGTGTGGGATGAAGATGGAGTTGCCAGGTATTCTGCCTATATAAGACATATCCTGCATTTTTTAGGGTGTCCTAAATGTCCTGTATTCAGCTTTTCAAATAAATTATGAAAATAGGCCAGTTAGAGCTATTTTTCTGCCACAGTAATTGGCGCTTAAATCTGCTAAAGTTAGCCGGGCGCAGTGGCTCAAGCCTGTAATCCCAGCACTTTAGGAGGCTGAGGTGACAGGATTGCCTGAGCTCAGGGGTTCGAGACGAGCCTGGGCAACTTGGTGAGACCCGGTCTCTACAATAAATCAAAAAAATAAGCTAGACGTGGTAGCTCGCAACTTGTAGTTCCAGCTACTTGGAAGGTTGAGGTAGAAGGATCGCCTGAGCCCAGCAGGTCTAGGCTATGGTGTGCGAGCTTGCCACTGCACTCCAGCCTGGGTGACAGAGTGAGACTCCAAAAAAAAAAAAACTGCTAAGGTAAATGTGTAGGTAAAGCTCTTGGCACATGGTGGTATCTTTTTCCTTTAAACTTTCAAGGCAGTTTTTCCACATATTACTTTTTATAAACACTTTTGTCTTTTATTACACATAGGCACATTTATTTTCTTTCTTACTAAATTGTTAAGTCTGTGAGGAAGGGCCATGTTTTGTTCTTTCATCCTTACTGTCTTGGTCTAGGCATTAGACACTAGTCCAGTCCTGAAGGTTGTTTAAAGTTGGGGCACCTCACCACTGGTAAGAGCTACTTATTCTTACACATCCGTTATGAGCAACCACTATTTTTTGGAAGAGAGAGAATCTCCATTTCACAGATGATGAAACTAAGGTGCCTAGAACTTAAGTAACTTACTTGC